CACTCATTTGTTCTTTGTGACAGTGATCCCAGAGTTAAATAATACTGTGCTTTCTTCGGAGAACATAGCTATATAACACTAATTTTGTTAAATGTGGTCTATTCCACCCAGCTAACAAGTGTGATGCTTTTTGCTCAGGTTGAGTTGATTGCCATCTACCTTGTGAAAGTTGTGAAAAAAGAGGGGAGCAACAGTCTTCGGAGAAACCCATCATGATAATTCAGTGTTTCTCTTTAAAAAAAAAAAAAGGTCACTCAAACTAGATCCAGTCTTTGAGTATTGAAAGCTTTAGATCAAGGTGCTGATCTCTAGCTACAAGTTGACTTTTTAAATTTATTTTTTTTTTGCATAGCAAAATGTTAAGCCTATTAGAAACAGAGCTGGTGGGAGGATGGTAATTTTGTCAGTTTGAATATTTTAGACTTTAAAAAAAATAATCTCTCAAATACCTTCTTAACCTGTATTTACGAAATAGAAAACAAGCGGAGAATCAGTCTTCCCTACAGGTAGGTGCTCTGGTCCTTCTGCATCATGACATCTTTTTGACACGTTAAGGCAGAATGTATTATGTGCAATGTATAAATTACTTTAAAACCTGATGCAAGTGCCATAAAAGTCTTGTTCCTTGTACATACACTCAGCTTGTGAGCTCTACAGGTGTCTTTCCCCACCCATTTCTGTTTTGCTGCTGGGAGAACACTGCATTTACCTTGCACTTGTCATGTGCCGAGTCATTAGGTTACTTGCAGTTAATGTTAAATCGGGCTCTCTAGGGGTTGAACAGTGAGAATGGTCACTTACGGGTTTGTGCTCCTTAAGTGTGAGATTATTCTAATGGACTGTTACAGGCATCATCCGAAGTTACAGTAAGGTTCCTGTCTCTTGCACGATAGTCGTTGAAGTCAAGAATTATTAGGCCGCACTTTTAGCCACTAAGCAGATAAACAGCCTGGAAAAGCTGCTCTTAGTTTTGCGTTTATTGCAGCAGCAAATTCAGAGGTTCTAAGCCTACAGATTCTGGAACAGCTTTCTGGAATGAAGAGATAAAGGGCTTTACTAATGTTTTACAAAAGGAAAAAAGTTTAGTGTGCATATTTGAGGGATGGTAGTAGCATGAGTTGTGTTTATTCTAGAATTCCTTTTGTGGAACAAATCTACTTTTTCATTTTTGTAATCTTTATATACAAACCACTTTGCTGCAGAAGCTCAGCATGACTTTGAATCAAAGTTCAGAGAGGGCCTCCACATGAACTAGAAGTTCCCTTAGCTCTTTCCCAGCTGTAGTCCACAGGGGTGCTGGGTGCTTTGTATTTGGTGTTTAAATCTTCCTTGATGTGGTGTTAACTGAAGCAAGCAGTGTGATACGCAAGCATAATTCCTCTTTTGCATGGCTGACTGAAGTGCTTTTTGGGGCTGAAGACATCTATGACCTAGTTCTTCTGCTTGGAGAGGATTTACGTATGGAAAGGCTTCTTAATTTGAGCACAATTACTGTATGCTAGAGCACCTTGCTCTTCCAGCTGCTTTTCTGGGCTTTTGAGAAACTATTCAAGTAGCTACTGCTTTTAAGCAAAAGAAATCCAAGAACCAGAATCTTACTGCAATGGTACAGCCCCAGGTACTGTTTTGGTGAGCAAAAATAGTTTGGTGGATGTTTTTTTTTTCCCCTGGAGGATAGCCCATGTGTCTTTGATCAGAGCATGCAGGTAATTTGCTCTGGTTTAGGTGAGAACTGTACATGCTGCTGTGTCCCACAGCCATGGCAGCTTGGGACCAGGGGATCTGGTAACAGCAGTTGTGCAGTGAATGCACTACAGAATCACAGAGGTAATGACTTTAATCGTGTTGCCCCTGAACCTCTTACGCAGCAAAATAGGAATCAAAGTGCTTTCTTCTTCATTCCCATGGACAGTGAGGTAAGGGAGAGGTTTTTGCATTTCCATCTACTAGCTAAATGGTTTCTGGAGATGAAGAATTCTAAAATGGTTGCTGATAAAATGTGGCTGGAAACTCTTCAGTATGCCCTGGTTTGTGGCTTGGAGCCAGTCAATGAAGCTGAAAAGAGCTGCTGTTCAGAGCAGTTACTTAACAGCCTAATTCTCCCTGCTCCCCCATTCCCTTCAGGTGGTAATGCTTGCCAATTTGAGAATTGTAAACCACTATGTGAAAAGTGGCCCTTCATGAGGACAGACCTCTGGACATCAAGGAGTATGGCACAGGTGTTTAGTATGTTGGAAAAAAAATAATCAGGGGGAAAAACCAAACCAAACCAGCACAATATGGGAGGGACAGTCTCATTTGCTGCCATAAGATAGCTTACAGATGACTGTCAGTTACTGGATATGTAATCAGGCATACCAGTAAGACTCACCAGATGATCTCATCAAGTTGTTTTATTTGCTTGCTTGGAAGGGAATCATGCCTAAACCTGCAGTGATAGAACCAGGTCAGCCCCAGAGGAGATCTGTTCTGATGCCAGGTGAAACCATGTACCATGTTTGTCCTTATTGCAGTAATTTTTTTTCCAGCTCAGCTAAGTTAAGATACAGACCTTTTTCAACATGTAGGTTAGGGTGAAATTAGGAAAGAACACTTCCGAGTACTAAGTCTGATAGTTTACTCCCAAAGCTAAGCAAGCTCAATGGTGACAAGTCCTTCTAAGATAATCTCCAAGTTGTGAAATAAATTACGAGGTCAGCATGCTGCTGCTGATGGAGGGCTAAGGCAAGGTTGTCTTAAAATAATCAGTTTAATGAACTGCTTCTAAAATAACTGGCCTGCATATTAATGATGTCCCTCTTAATTAGGCAGCACTAAAATACTGCGTTGAATGGTTCGTTACAGAAGAGAATTCACTTGTTAATTCAGGAAGAGGTTTTTTCCAGTTTTCCTCTCAGCCTGCAACAGTCCTTGCCAGGCTTGAATGGGAAAGGGAGGATACTGTTGTTGCCATGTTGATGCTTGCCACTCTTAATTTGCCGGGACACATTTCAACTGTAATTATGTCGATACGATGAATGCTAAGTGATGGAATGAGACCACTTAGCTGTGGTAGGTTCCTGAGGGAAGTCATGTGAAGTTGCAGTGGGACAGTTACACAAGGACAGAGTTGCCCCAGCACACAGAGCTGAGCGCATTCTTAATCTTTTTGGAACTTCCTGAATCTAGTACCACCTCCATTCTCACCCTCTGCCTTTTATTTCAATCATAGTCAAAATCACTCTTGTGTTTCAGTGAGGGGGTGGCTTTGTAGTAGTTGGAGGAGCAGTTTAAATCCTCACTTCTCTTTCCTTCACCTCTTGCATTCTACAACATGAGTAACCTATGGAAGAAAACCCATAAATATAAGAATAAGGATAATTGGAGATGCCAGAACATGTTAACAGGAAGATGACTGGAACAGCGAATTGCTAAACCCACTAGGTGTGTCTGTGTGCTGTGATGGATCCTCTCTGTCTGCTCATCCTAGTGATTGTAGAGGAGCTGGAGGTTTGAGACTTGCAGTTGATCTCCAGGCAGAAGCAGCTGTAAAATAGGAAAACTTGATCCAGTGAAGTGTACAGTTCTGGTGAACAAAAATTTTTAAAAAAACAAGCAACTAATCAACCAAAACCCAAACTTTGGACCTGTAGTTAAGTGTCTTCTCGGAACTGAAGAGAGGTTGCTACTATTAGAAGTTCAGCTAGCCACAGGCATGTAAGCTGTGTACACTTCTGAGACAGCTTCAGAGAAAAAGTGTCTGTTGAATGTATATACTATGTACAGCTGTTCTAAACTTGCAGCAAAAATACATGCTGATGGTCTGAGCCCACTGTAGGTATTTTTTTAGACAACTTCCACTGAGGTGTAAGTTACCAGCTAGACCACTTGTTTGAAAGTAATTTTGGAAAGATTTCTGATCTATTAGTAAACTTGTGCAACTTCATATCAAAAATCAGTCTGCATGAACAAGTCACTTAACTCATTGACAATTACTACTTTTAGTTTAGGAATGCACAAAAAAAAGTCTTAACTGCATAGGTAATCACAAAATTCCAATCACTAAAGATAATGAGCCAACTTCCACGACAATAAAAGAACTGTGCATGCCCTTTACTAGTGTAGATTAACTTTTTCAAATCTCCCACTAGAGAAGAAAAACTAAGGTCATGGTTTATGTAAATTTGCACTGTGTATGTAGCATCACTGTTTTTCTTACAGTGTGGTAGCGTTGCCAAGGCTCGTTTGTCATCAGTCTGAAGAAAGCAGTTAAACCTGTCCACAGCAGTGCGTGAGGAGACAAGTTCAGCTGATGAATCACAGCTTAACTCCACCACATTCAACCCAAGTCAGACAATCTACAGCCTTAGTCTGATGAAAGGCTCACCAAATTTATTTTGAGATGTTTCTAACTCTCAGCTGATTATTTTTAAAGAAATACAGCCAGAACTTCAGATAGGTAGAGGTAAAAAGCCCTGATGATGTTGACCACATTTTCACACTCGGGAATCACAGGAAGGTGATGAAAGCTTGGGTGAATTTGTGTACAACGGTTCCACCACAACCTCTCTCAACCACTCCACGCTGCCAAGCTTTTACTTGGTGCAAAGTGATTACAAAACAAACTATTTTAAAAGGTAGTTTCATAAAGCTTTATTGAATACTTTTGAATTTGTTACAGAATCAGTAAATTACATTCTGTATGAGCCTGCTTTATACTTTGAAACAACTTTCATGCGATGTTACAGGAACTCCGCACTACCTTCTTACAGAACAAGTAGTTCAGTTTGTAAGCATATATAGTGGTATTGTTTGAATGTGACTGTGACGGGCCTGAAGACAGGGCTGCTTTGTCACATGGTGACACCACAGGCAAAGAAAATGGAGATCTCTTAAAACACTGTCATGCTGGTAGACCATATGGCAAGTCCAAAGCCTCTCCTGCTATCTTGACCAGAAAACACAGGTGCATCCCCATGCTGTAACACTCTGTTCTTCATCCCAAAATAGGCACTAATTTTAGGCTTGTAGCAATTCTGGTGGTAATTAAGAAATTTGTGAAGTGAGACTAATTCACTTTATATAGACTTTCACAACTTTGTGCAGATGATGTCTCATTGCATAGATGAGACAATAATTCTATATGGGATTCTTAAGCCCAACTTTATTTTATAAATTACTTTCTTATATTAATTTCCTAGATACTTTGTATGTCTGCCTTGTGCAATTAACTTTCCTGTTGCCTTATTTGTTAAATCCACGCTGGCAAATGCAATATTTCTTCCTTGCTTCAATATCTGAGCTGTAATCAGCACCTCTTCTCCAATCTTAGCAGCAGAAGTGTATCTTCAATGAAAAACAAAATGAACAGGTAAAAGGCTGTACAGAACACAAATTCAAGCATATTCCTGCATTTCAGATTATCACAAAGAGCATTAGCAAAAGTGAGCAATGAAGACGCATCTCTCTAACTGCCTCCTTGCAAATCCCTACTTCTTAAAGTCCTTGAGTTTCCTCTAAGTACTGCAGGGGTAATTCGGTGTAAGGGTTCTCTATGCAAATGGAGGACAGAAAGAAACTCATTGGCTTGGTTTTGAGGAAAAATCCATTTTGGAACAGAAACAATTGAGTATCAAAGACCTCAGTTAAAAGTTCAGCCCCACAGCCTTTCTAAACCAGTCTGGCTGGTTCAGCTGCAAAACATCTCGGTTATACAGGCTCCAGAAGGTCACTTCTGGGTGTAGGTTAACTGCTTCTCATACCCTGGTCAAAGAAAAGTCATGGAAATCTGGGAAGCCTTCAAACTTCCCTGGTTTAATGTTATTTCCATTCATTAGATAACTCTCTAGTTTTATTTATATGAAGAGTGTGCTTTTAAAATGCTCTCCGGGGAACAGGAAGAAATTCCCTTGCAAAACCCCTGGAAAGAATTAGGAGGAACATGATCCAATCATGATCTGAGGTAAGGGAACAATATTCATATATTAGAATTACAGAGGACAATGTATAATTGCTGGATATAAATCTTATTGAGATAAATTTAATCAGCCAGTCCATTTTTATACATGACACCATGTCAAAAGTATGTCAGTCACACCTCATGCTGATGTAGCACGAGCCCCATTACTTGACAGAGAGCAGTTTCAGTCTTGGTTCATTTTCAGAGGCAGATGATGATCCTCTTGGGATTTTAAAAAAAAAAAAAAAGTTTCTCTGTTTCTCCCTGTTCTTTCCATTCCTAAAATAGCTTCCTCGTGACAACTTTTTAAAAAGCTCCTTCTCAAAAAGGATAAAGTTGTGTCATAGCAATATTCGATATCCAATATCAGTTGCTCACTGAAAGCAGCACTCTGGGTTAAACAAAGCTATTAGCACTGTTTCACATAACATTTCCTAAAGGTTATGCTACTCAATCATTTTGAATCACCTCCAGAGAGCACTTTGTTAAGATTTTAGCCCTTATGTGATTGGGTAGGCATACTTGCTAGTGTAAATAAATCAGATGTTGGCCTCTTGTTATGCTACTGTAAGGAAAATATTAAATCATAAGAGAATTTCAGGTTTCCGTTTCCAGTAATTTCTTGGTCATCACAGTGGCAGTGGAAACCTTGAATAGATGTTCCAGTCCCACCCACCCAGTGGAGAAATCAAAGTGCTGGGGAAAAGGAAGGAACCTGGTAGAGATATGGATCACTCCCCACACACTTTTAAAGCTTTGGGGGTTTTTAAGACAGTTTTGATGAGGGATAGCTTTTTCCAAGATGTTTCATGCTCTGTGTTAGCTATTCCAAGTAGGATTACTTTAGTTCCAGTTAGTCATAATCTCTTCATTAAATGTAATGAAGCAAAGCTGACAAGCGGTAATAGCATGATCAAAGAAGGTTTCAGAACAACTTTTTTTTTCTTTTAAAGACACTGTGCTTTAAATTTGCATTACAGGAAGAACTATTCTCAAAATAAAACTACCTTTAAATGACCTAGAGCAAAGGAATCTTCCTCCAGTGAGAAATATTCAGTCTCTAATCCACGCTCTATGTGAGCATGCAACAGAACTAAGCAGTTCGATGTTTTAGTATTTTTCCTGTTTTAACATTTCATGGACTGATACCAGAAAAGGGTTTCTAGAAAGCTGCTTACCCAAGATTTTGGTGTTTGAGGACACACTCTTAACATATCTTCACAAGTGAAGGCAGAAGTTGAGCCAATTTCATAAGATTAAAATTTACCACATTATCAACATCCCTTTACATTCTATGAATGAATGGGTAGTGTCTCTTAAACACATAGGACAAATAAAAACTTACGATAGTCCAACTCAAATTTTGCAACTAAATGGCAGTATCCCCAAATACAATCCCCTCTTAATTTAACATCAAAACAAGACTTCTAAAACCAAAGAAAACACTTTTTTTTTAATGGGTACTACAGCACAGAAATGATGTACAATGGAGTCAGTACTGTGTTAGGAGAAGAAATGTTCTGGTGAACGTGGTGGGCGATACCTACGTGATGTTCATGTCCACGCTGACCCCAGGCAGTGCTCTTTCTGTGTACAGCAATGCTGCTGTTGACACCACATCCACAAGTGTGGCTGTCAGCCCTCCATGCAACGTGCCGCCTCTGTTTGTGTGCTCCTCCTCTACTTTCATTTCACAGACGACTTTGCCGGGAGTTGCAGAAATAAGTTTCATCTGTATAACCAAAAAAAAAGGAATAAAACGCTTACTGACAACAGTACCGACCTCCAATACTGTCCTGAATCAAACTGAACGTAAATCTTGTTTAATTCTATGCTCCTGAGACAAATGAAGAGGTGGAAAATATAGTAATTCAACCATCATGTTAGGTATTTCCATAAATTTTAAGCAGAGAATTGTTGCCTTAGAAAAATCTGTGTTTCTAGTGCAGATAAATATTTCAACTGACAGCTTAACAAAAAAATTCAATACTTGCTATGCTTGCAGGAATTGTTTAGGAGACAAGATTCTTCAGTTTTGCTTTAATCTGGGACTGAAAAAAACAGATTAGAGGGAACACAAAATTGCTCTATCTCTGTGCATTGTAGTTGTGAAGGTGTATTTGTTAGCTTACAAAATGGAAATAAGACTGACAATAATTAATTAGTCATTGTACTAGAGCAACCTCAGTAAAAATCAGTATTTTGAATTAAGTGCTAGAAATGGTAAGCAGATTGGCCTCCCTGATCTGAAATGCATACTCCAGGGTAGAAGTATCCAAGGCTGTATTACAGCACCATGACTTGCATATACACTTTTATTCTAGTCCGCAGGTGTTAAATAGAAGAATTACAGTACATCTGTGGTACCACACTTCCCCCTGTAACCAACACAAGAAGCTGAATTTTTGAGATCAAGAAGTTACTGCAATTCAGTATGTTAAAATCTTTCTTTCAAGTTGCTTCAGTTAATAACACTATATGCAAAATCTGAAATGTATTCAAAATCTGAAGGCAGATGCAAAACTGGGTTAAGTTCAAAATGTATACTTACACCTATGACTAAGACTTTGAAGTACCTTTAAACTGTCAGAAGTGAAATGTGGACATAATATTTATTATACTTGCTACTAATTTTCTAAAATTTTTTACAAAGTTTTTTTTTTAACTTACATGTTTCCATACTGTATCAGCTGAGTTGACTTAAATCTTTTTAATCTTAAGACTGAAATGTCTCCAGTTTCACTACTCCTTACTTATAATGCAGTGCAATAGTTCCGTTTCAGCCAATGTCTCTTTCTGATAGGCCAAAGTTTATCCAAATTTTGCAGAGAAATGATACAAAGACAAATGATGACACAGGACACAGTCCAACTACAAATGGAAAAAGCTGGAATTAAGCACAGGGGAAGTCACTGAGGCAGTGTCCTAATACAGAAATAGCACCCTGATCAATGAAAATCCCAAGTCCTAATTTCTGACAGAATGCCTGATGAGGGCTTCACTGGCACTTGGACCCTGGGAGCAGATGACCTCCACAACCGTCAGGGAGGGCTCCGATCCATCACCGAGGCAAGGGAAGCATCGGCTTCCCTTTGTCATTGCTCTGACCTGGCACTCGCTGCCTGCTCTCCTTGACAAAAATAGTTCAGTGTTTAAACACTGCCAGGCCTCGCACAGCCAGAGCTGCTGGGTTGTACTTTCTCCACTCGCAGCCCTTCTGTGCCTGTCCTCCCACGCGTCTGTCTCGGCGAGGTGCTGCTTTGGCTGCCAGCCACTGCTGCGATGCACTGCTTCTCTGGAGAAAGGGGTTTAAAACCCACAGTCGTTAAGCCCCATGTAGATACCACATTGCAATTAAGCCAGAAACTAAGCCTGATGCTAGAGCTGAAAAGTTGCAGGCTAAAATCTGTCTTCTCCAGAACTGGAAAAATCTTGAGTCATATTTAGTTATGGTAAAAAAGGCTTCAGGTATCTCCCAGAACAGAAGATGCTTTAAATAAGAACAAAACTGTACTTGTATTGTTATTGATATTATGATTATGTTCATAGCATCATACTTCCAGAAGCAGATTGCAGAAAACCTCAAAAAAAAAGTATTCCAGAGCAAGGCAGGAAGCCTGTCTCCCAAGGCTCGCTTCCAGCCAGTTACCTTCATGAGCTGAAATACTACATTTTTCTCTACTTAGTAGGATTTTAGGATAAAGTTATCACAGTGAAGAGGTCACTAAGGACAAACTGGACTCTTTATAAACAAATGAACTTCATCAACTTAGAGCTTTATACTTTCTATATAGGAGACCAAAATGTCTTGGGGAAACTATTATTAAGAGTTGCTTTGCAAATGGTTACTTTCTATTAAATGTATTGGATCATGGATCTGTCAATGAAAACACTGCTTCCAGTATTACATTCGCTTCTCTACAATGCAAAACACATTTTAAAATGGTTGGTTTTCTTAGATATATTTACTCCTTGTCTCCATATCACAGCTACACAAATAAGAAGAAATCAAATGCAGAATTCTAGCATTGCAAAATTTAATGAGAACACTGAAACTGCTTCAGAGGAGCTCAGGGACACATCAGCTATGCTACTGCATACTACAAAATTTAAGACGACAGAGTAATGCTATTTAAACTTTTTTTGATGATACCATAGCATTACACTAGAGCCGTACCAGTCATAGAATCATGGTAAGGTTAGGGTTGGAAAGGACCTTAAAGATCATCCAGTCTAACCCCCCTGCCATGGGCAGGGACACCTCCCACCAGACCAGGTTGCTCAAAGCCCCGTCCAACCTGGCCTTGAACACTTCCAGGGAGGGGGCATCCACAACTTGCCTGGGCAACCTGTGTCAGTGTCTCACCACCCTCACAGTGAAGAATTTCTTCCTAATATCTACTCTAAATCTACCCCCTTCCAGTCTGAAACTATTACTCCTGATCCTATCAAGTACATTTCTTTATACAGAGCGTTGTTAGAAACTCACAGAGCACTTAAGCACTTGTGTTTTCGGTCTGACTTCAAGGTGAAAGGTCAGATATGTATTATAACGAGCTGCCTTTTTTTTTTTTTTCAATTTTAAACAGAGAAGACTAATGATGTATTTCATAATTTCACAGTCCTAGAAGTTACCTAGGCACTACGAAGGGAAGAACACCAGTTACTGAATAACTCATGGAAGGCTATTCAACAGGAAACACCCCACACCTCGGGCCAGGGTGTCCCTCACCCCCCTTTTACTCTGGGAGGGGAAAAAGCGGCTTTTAAACGAGCAGCCCCACCTGGGGGGAACTCCCGCCCTTCCCGGCAGAGGCTGCCGGCGGGATACCCTCCCGTCTGTCGCTGCTGGGGGCTACGCTGCCGTCTCCCAGCCGCCCTCTCCCTGCGGCCCTCCCGTACCTTGTGAAGCACCCGGTCGAAGCCCTGCGACTCCAGCATGTACTTCATGGCCGCCCGCAGGCTCTCCAGCGTGACCCCCATGCTGCCCTTCGCGCCCCGCCAACAGTCGGCCACC